AAGATGGCGGCGTGTATGAGTGCTGGATCTGATGTTTTTATTAGCCTGAAGTTTGTCATTTGAAGTGCTGTATTAAGCAAGCTGTGCACGTCAGTCTTTAATATATCGTGTATGAGACTCGGGCTCCGGTCGTTCAAATGTCCGAGGGCAGATAGATAGACGGGAATGTGATAGCTCACTGCGCTCAGACAGGTTGAGTTGTGTTGGTGGCCAGTTTGACGCTAAAATTGACAGCTTTAATCAGCTAGCAGTTCACATACTCCGAGAGGACATCGTGCACGAAACTCAGCAAATGTGACCTTCTGTCTGGCCAATAACATCCTACTAGTCAGATCCATCACGTTCATATCTGCTCTGGTCATATGTTTAGAAAGTAAGATTAGCTGCTTTCTTTACATTGTTAGCAGGTGATCTGCCAGTCACTGAATGCTGCTAGTTACACTAACTTACATCTTTGCAGATACATATATTGTGTGTTAGTGCAGTTTGCATTGCTTTTATTCACTTTGAAAAGCACTTCCAGCATTTTCAAACCTATAATGAACGAGTAGTTTTGACTGGTGGTCTTTCTGTCTTAAACAGAAGGGGAGTCAAACCCTGAATGGTTATAGTTACATTTCTCTGGTTTTCATCTATTTCCCGGTAGTATAATGCTCTCCCGAGCTGTAAGGAAATCTCTCTCCTATGGAAATGCAGTATTGGCGGGTTTCTCTGGCAGCTATTATTGCAGTCGTGTGTGTTTTCATCAGACCGCCGTGTGTAAAGTTGCTTCGCAAGCTGAATGTGCCTTCAGACCTGCGAAAGTGGCTGTTGTGACTAAAACCACACGATATGAGTTCGAGCAGCAGAGATATCGCTATGCGGGACTGTCGGAGGAGGACCTCAAACAGCTGGTAAGCAGATACTAATCGAGAGGTGAATAAACCTCTTTATCACATCTCATTCAGCACCATTTTAATCCGTTACAGTGCCTTTAAAGGGACAGCTCATATTTCTCGTAGACATATTTTCTATGAAGAATGTGTCTGCTTTTTCGTTTTTTTTTTACTTGATTGTGAGATAACTTTTATTATAGAAAGAACTTTAACTTTGTAAACAAGATAATTTTACCTAAACATTTTTACCAAACCAATCGTTTTATATTAACACTTTACTCTACAGAACACTTCTGTTAATATTTTACTTTTGTTTTCAACTCAAAATATTGTCTTCTCACTAGCAAGCGCAATGGACATAAAGGTATAGTTCACTTAAAAATTATTTCCTGTTATTTTACTCACCCTCTGGTGATCAAAGATGACTTTTTTCTTCAGTAGAACATTAAAGAAGTTTTTATTCACAGCCTGGTCAAACAGTTCTCAGCACATATGTGAATGTATTCTGATTGCACACCAGTAGATTTCGGTGACGAAAGTATGCAAGTTTGTGACTTATTTAATTTAATTTAATAAAAAAGAATCCCCATTTACTGCCATTATGTGGATCACCAAGGACCACAGATTCAGTTGAAACTTTCCTTTAAAGGACATATATGATAAAAATCATCTCTTGAAAGCTGTTTGGACAGAAATGTGTGCAGGTTTAGTGTGTCCACAGTCATATTGGAGTAATATAAACGCATTAAGTCTCTTTATTTTTAATTTCCTGACTTTGAAATAGGATCCAAATCCTTCCCATTTTGAGGCCCACCACAACATGACGTAGGAGTGCAGTTTACCCGCGCCCCAATGGATTAACAGCCATATATGTCTCTGTAGTAATGCGTATAATCATATCAACAAGACAGGACGTGCGCAAAGCAACCAAGATTAAAAGATCTGTTCAGCTCGCTGTGATCATCAATCATCGTCAAATGTGATCAAGAATGAATTTTACAAGTTTAAAATGTTTTTAAAACAGTGCATGTTTGTAAAGAATTACAGCAATTTTACCATCTTTATCTTCACAGCCGCATGACAGTATAATTAGAAAAAGGACGATTCAGACCCGGCTTGTGGATGTTAAATCAGGGTTATTTTGTACATTAACATAGAGGTTTGTCCATACAGCATACGGCCGCCATTTTAAACAACGAAATCGAGGCTGTGTTGGGAATAAACCAGGAAGTATCGCCTGAGTCACACAGGAATATACCTGGCTCTATATCTTCTCAGCGAAGAGAAAGTGACACAAATTTATCATTTCACTGCCTTTCAAGTGACCTGAAGGTCCATTCTGAATGAATAGTGAAAATAAATGTTCAGCTTAAGGAAGTGGCACTAGTTAGCTAACTTTTTCTTTCCGGAACACATGTTTTAGATGCCATTTGTCATACTCAAGTTAATATACTGATTCTTTAAAAAGGTCCATTTCCCGTTAACATTTAAGGAACTGTTGATGGCGTTCTTAAACACCACTGATTTGCCATAGTGTTCACGTGCTCAACAGAAATGACTGTGATTGGCCGTGAAGGTCGTCAGCTCACTGCACTTCACTGATGTTTACCGAGGGCAAACACAGACAAGCGATCCGCTTGATGAATCGACTGATCTTTACGGCTTTAAAACGATCCAGTGTTCATGCAGCTATGTTTGCAATCTGTGAAGAGCGGTGAACTGATGACCTTCACGGCCAATCGCAGCCGTTTCTGTTGAGCACTGGTGAAAACTATGGCAAATCAGCTGTTTAAGAACACACTCAGCTGTGCTTAAATGTTAGCAGGAAATAACAATTTTTTTAAACTTAAGTACCGGACAATACCATTACAGACAACATGAGGGTGTGCTACAGAAGACTGCATTGTTTTAATACTCACCGGGTTATATACTGTAGGCTGAAGCAGAGTAGTGTCCTCGCAGTATTTACCTGGTGCAATGAACCGAAGTCTAGGAGGACACTTAAGCATATTACTCTTACAGAGATTGTGATGTTGTTTGATGCCTAATATGGTTTTAATTGTTTAAATTAAACTTAACTGAATGATATAAAAGTGATGTTCACAGCATATTTGCATTTTGAAATCATGGCAACAGCTGGAGGTTTGGGTTCACAGCATGTTGTTGCCATTTGTACAGTGCTGATCTTATCCTTCCCGGTTTCTTCCCTCCGCAGCCTCGCTTTCATTCTTTATAATGGCGACTGCGTGAAATAAGCATATTAACTCCTCAACAAATACATCAAATAATCACTGGGAAAGTTCTTACTGTAATGTTTCTCACAAACGTTACGTAAGATCCGCTTCCTTCATGTATGTCACTGTGCTGTTTGTCTGACGCAAACAAGACGGAGACTGAAACACTCTGACAGGCACATGGGAACAGTGGGTGGGGAGAACTAGCATTAAAGGCACAGGCAACAAAAACAGCTACACTGTTTTCAGAGCAGGTCATTTCAATATTCTGACAGGTTTAATAAATAATCTGATGGGTGTTTTGAGCTGAAACTTTACAGACACATTCTGGAGACACTAAAGGCTTATCTTAAATCTTTAAAAAAATGGGTCAAATAAGTGACCTTTTAATATTCTACTAAAGAAAAAAGGTCACCTACATCACCTACATCATGCATGACCTCTGGCGGGTGATTAAATAAATAAAAATGTTTAAGTGAACTATCCCTTCGAGTATTTAACAATAGGTATTTAACAATCCTTTCAGTTACTACAAACAATACCTGCCGCATACTTGAAAACAGTTCTAACAGATTCTAACATACTTCGATACAAAAAGATGATGTTCATATTTATTTGTAAGAATCAATACACAGCTTATAAAATTCTGTCTTCTGCTTGCTATCACAGCTTGCTCTAAAAGGATCGAGTTACAGTGGGCTTCTGGAGAGGCACAATATACACACCTTCAATGTTGGACATATTGTGGAAAGTCTACAGTAAGATGAACCCCCCAAATCTCAGTTATTTCAAGTATTTGGCATAATTTTCCAGTATTGACAAGACCTTAATTCTGTGTAGAAAACAGGGGATTGAGGTGCGTGTTGTAAAAAGAGGAGAGTATGATGAGGAGACGGTACGATGGGCCGATGCCATCATCTCTGCTGGAGGTGAAGCTTGCTTTTTTACATTTGATATTATAACAGTTTAATTTTGAAAGATGGTACTTACAGGACTTAATAGATGTACAGTGGAAATCAACATTAGAGAGCGATTTATGAACGCTTGTTTTTTGAGAAATCTCATAATCTTCATTGTTAATATTTTTAGTTGTGCCTCTCTATACTTATATACAGTCAAGCCCGAAATTAATCATACACCTGAGGTATGAATGATTTCAGGCTTGACTGTATAATGTAAAATATAGTTTTCACTCCTTGTATGTTTGCATATATTACCACTTTAATAACTTTTAACTTTATGGAGAACACAGTGATTGTAAGACAACTAAAATTTGTCTTACAATCACTACAGCAGTGAGAAAGAAGTAGAAAGTATACAAATTGTAAAAATATAACATACAAAGTGCTTTAAATGACAGTAACATCACTAATTTTACAACCTCTTTGAGGGTAGTCTAGGGTAAAAGGAATATCATTTAAAGGTGTTTCAACTTTACCATGTAATGTTGGAAGCAAAAGACATGGACAACACAAATGCCAACAAAAGTGATTTAATGTACAAAAGTAAAAACCATAGAAATGCCCATATATATATATATATATATATATATATATATACACACACACACACACACACAATTTTTTTGTGTGTGGGCTTTTATATATATATATATATATATATATATATATATATATATATATATATACGCACACAGACATACACACAAAGAAATATTTACAATAACGATAAAATTATACAATAAAGTTGCAAGTAAAAAAAAGTATCAAACTAAATATTAGAAGAACTTAGGAGTAAGAGATGATAGTGAAGTCAAACAAAAGAAAGAAATATAACAAAACAATTCCAACTCATGAATAACCTCTTACCTCGCTAGAAACATATGCAAATAAAAGAAAAGTCTTCAGTATCTTGTGCTGTATTTTTCCCCATACACAACTGTAGATTAAATAAAAAAACAAAACAAGCCGTTCACCTCTTACCTGGTGTCTAACAATAAATTTCTTACGTGTTTGCAAGAAGTCATACGACTTTTATATATAACCCATCGCCCAATTATGATAGACCAGTCTCCTGACCCATCAACTGTTAGGTTGCGAAGGCGAACCTAACAGAAGTGACAGGCATGGAGAGGGAGAGTAGGAACGGTTGAAAAAAATACAACCAACATACGACTGCGGCCGTAACACTAGTTTCTAACATCACTAGTGTCTCACAGGACATTACTTGTCACCAAGGAATTTAAAAAGAGATTTATCAGGTTTAGATTAGGACTCTGGGCTGCCATTTTATTCTTTCAGCATTCAGATAAGCACCGTTGAATGAATCTCATGTTGCTGAAGGAGCCTTTTAACATTTGCAGTCATGTAGCTCATTAAGTTTTACATATTGTGCTTTAGAATACAGTTGAAATCAGAATTATTAGCCGCCCTGAATTATAAGCCCCCCTGTTTATTTTCCCCCCAATTTCTGTTTAACGGAGAGAAGATTTTTTTTAACACGTTTCGAATCCTAATAGTTTTAATAACTAATTTCTAATAACTGATTTATTTTATCTTTGCCAAGATGACAGTAAAAATTATTTGACTAGATATTTTTCAAGACACTTCTATACAGCTTAAAGTGGCTTAACTAGGTTAATTAGGTTAACTAGGCAGGTTAGGGTAATGAGGCAAGTTATTGTATGATGATGGTTTGTTCTGTACATCGAAAAAAATATAGCCTAAATGGGCTAATAATTTTGACCTTAAAATGGCTTTTAAAAATTTAAAAACTGCTTTTACTCTAGCTGAAATAAAACAAAAGACTTTCTCCAGAAGAAAAAATATTATCCGACATACTGTGAAAATGTCCTTGTTCTGTTAAACGTTAATTGGGAAACATTTTTAAAAAGAAAAAAAAAATCAAAGGGGGGCTAATAATTCTGATTTCAACTGTATATGTACCTTATAAAATACACCTTTAAAAACTACACCTTTTCTTATGTTAGGATAACTTTAGATTGGACAAAGCAGTGAGCTCTGATTTTGATCTCCACTGTATCTTTGTTTCTAACAGACTGCTTTATTTCATAGGTGATGGCACCATGCTGCTAGTTGCTAGTAAAGTGTATGATAAGAGCAAACCTGTATTGGGTGTCAATACAGACCCAGAGAGGTAAAAAAAAAAATCCAGCATCTAGTAGTGACTGAGTTTCTTATTTATTTTTTTTTGTATGAATATGTAATGTTACCTGTGTTTTGTGTGTGAAGGTCGGAGGGTCACCTGTGTTTGCCCGTCCGCTACACACACGCCTTTTCTGAGGCCTTGCAGAAACTCAGGAAGGGAGATTTCAGGTGGCTGCTGCTTATTTACTCTTGCTTATTGTCCACAGTAATCCAATTTGCAGTGTAATCCTATTTGCAGTTGTTTTTCTGCACACCTCTTGCAAATGTTCTTTACTAAATGCCTTCTGGTGTGAAGTGCTATTTCATAGAAATCTTAATATAAATAAATGTCCTGTTAATAAGTTTGAGATGCATTTACCTTATGGGATTGCTGATGCTGCTAGCTAATAACTATTAATAAATTATTCGACGGATATGTATCCATGTGTGTATTTATTTATATATGTTTGTATCAGCAAAAAAAATAAATTACATTGTTTTATAACAAAATTCATATACATTTATTAAGAGACCATTCAAGTAGTGAGAATTGTCAGTTTTTCTAGTTATGTGTTTTAGTATTTTTGAAAATAATTCCTTATTCTTTTCCTCAAATTTCAAATAAAAATATAGATTTTACTTTAAAAAAAATACTGAAATTGACAGTTAGTCACTTTTTAAAATGTATTATGATAGAAAGTCAGGGTTATTCCACCCAATATTGAAATCCTGAACTTTTTTTAGGGTTAACATTGCTCCTGTTTTGTCTAAAAATGAAAAGAACGGTGTCTGAAAACACAAAGCTGAAATGTGATTTATTAAAAATACTAATTTAATCATCAAACTCTGGTTCTAAATACTCCTAAATAAATGTATGGTAAAAAAGCTCCATTATTGGGTCTTCTATAAGTCAAGATAAAGTGTGTGTTAGTCATTATGTTTGCTCAGACAAGTATGAAATTCAACAGAACACATTCTAATCACTGAAACCCAAATTAAAGCTGTATTTTGCTTTTATTGTTTTCTCTTTTATTTTCCTTGATCTACTCCCTCTATGTTTTCCCCTTCTCTTTTTTAAAAAGTGACTATCTCCTCTAGGTGGCAGTGGCGTCAGCGTATCCGCATGCATCTGGAGGGCACCGGCATCAATCCCACTCCAGTGGACCTTCATGAACTGCAGCTGAGTCTTCAACAGCACAGCAAAGCCCACCGAATCAGCACAGGCACCCAGAGCAGTATGAGACCACCACACACACACACACACACACAATACATCACAAATTCCAGACAGAAATGTCCCGCTACATGGTTTTTTACACCATATTTATGGGTAATGCAATAAGGAGATGTTGAGGGACATAAAGGGATAGTTCACCCAAAGAATAAATTCAGGTATTTTTTTACTGATGTTTTAGCCTAGTGGTTAGCGCTAACACATGGTGCAGTTCGAATCCCGAGTTCGAATCCTGGCTTGAGGACATTTGCCATCCCTACCCCCTCTGTCTCTCCCACTTCGCTTCCTGTCTGAAATACTGTCCTATCCACTTAATAAAGGCAAAAGTGCAAAAATAAATCTTAAAAAATAAATAAATAAATAAAATAAATAACTCAGAGATGCAATAATGAAATATTTTGCAAACAAAATGTTTTTAATGTAGAAAATGGTTAATATTATATTTTAATAAAATAATGCAAAAGGAAGTTACTTAATAAATTAGTGAAGCTTTTGTAAATGAAATGTGTTCTGTTGCAGAAAATAGATCATATAAATGAATAAAACAATGTGTTTTTATACTAATTTTATGACGAAAATAAAAATTGAATGAGATGTTAAAATTACTGAATATAAATACAATATTTCAATATTATGTTACAGCGATGAGTGAGTTTTCATGTAATGCAGTTTTTGATTTTGGTTCAATTGTGCTTAATTAGAAGTGGAAGTGGTGTTAGTGAGGCCAGCCCCAGTAAAGGTGAAGGGGACACTATACTGTCAGTAGGCACCATTTTTTGGATGAGACGTAAATCCATGACTCTCTGTGATCATTAAAAAATCCCATGGCACTTCTGTCCTGGCCAAAGGCCTTCAAGTGGCCCCTTATGATAATGGCCTCCCAATCATCCCCATCCACCAAACTGGCTCTATCACTGTCTCTTCACTCCACCAATAGCTGGTGTGTGGTGAGCGCACTGGTACTGTTGTCCTGTGGCTGCCGTCATATCATCCAAGTGGATGCTGCACACTGGTGGTGGTGTGGAGAGACCCCCCTCATGATTGTGAAGCGCATTGGGTGTATGGCCATACACAATAAAATGCACTATATAAATGCAAATTATAATACATTACATTAATTATATTCAAAAATTCAATTAATGAAAAAATGTGACATTTTGCTGTGTATTATTATTATTTTTATTATTATTATTATTATTATTTTTATTATTATTATTATTATTATTATTATAAGTAGGCCCACACGGAATCTGCACATGCAGAAATCTGCAGATTTTTAGCCCATCATTAAGTCCAAGTATTTACTTTAGAAAATGTGTGTAAATTTATATTTATTTAAATTAATTTTACTAATATTATTATGGTATAATAATAGTAATATTAAAATGTTGATATAGCATTTAGTCTTTATTTCTAAATTTTAATTTAATTTATTTGTCTTGTTAAATTTCTTCAATATTTAAACATTTTATTGATTTGTATTTTATTTTAGGGCTGCCAAGGTTAATGCACCTGTTACTACTTTATTTGGATTTAGCCTGTAGTCAATTTCCAAGCCAAAATGTCCAAGTAAAAAATGACAAGTTTATTTGATGTATTTGCGGTGGAGTCTGTTCAAGCCTTTCTGATATGAAGAGTCACTGACACCATGCAGCCATGGTGATCATAGCGGTTAAGAATTACATAGTGGTTTTACTGGTCTTTATTTTGAACATGCTCTGTTTTAACAATGTTTTAAATTAAAAAAAATAATTATTGAGGTTCGGCTGATCACAGAGACTTGTAACACATTTTAATGCCAGTTTCTTTGAAAAATAAGTTCTGTGGACAAGTGTATACATGTTATTATGGAGACATGGCATCTGTCAATCAATTCAGGTGTTTAGAGAGGAAAACTGCACTCCTACATCATGTTGCGGTGTGCCTGAAAATCACTGGGATTTGGGTCCTATTTTAACGTCAGGAAATTTTAAAAAAGAAACTTGTTGTGTTTCTATCACCCCAATATGACTGAGGACACACCATACCTGCACACAGTTCTGTCCAAACAGCTTACAAAAGTTGATTTTCATCTTAGGCTTTTAAAGTTAAGGAATGTTTGTTTTACTTTTAAAGTATACAACACTCTGATTACCATCTTGCGAAACAGCACAGAAATCATACTGCTATTATTGTTTTCGTATCAGGCACTCCCCACGACAGTCCCGAAGCGCCTCATTTACTGCCAGTCCGTGGGCTCAATGAGATCTTCATTGGCGAGTCTCTGTCCTCCAGGTAATACAATCCATGCCTGTCCACTTTTGTGTGTGCTTTAACACTCTTCCTCCAACCATCGCTCACATCAGCACTGTCAACTCCTCCTCACTCCATGCATCCCCCATCTGCCCTTACTTGTGGATTTCTGTCTGCCACAGGTTGAAGTATAAATCCTTCAAACCCCATCTTACCCTCTCGCTTCATAGGGCTTCATACTATGAAATCTCCATTGATGACGGGCCGTGGGAAAAACAGAAGAGCTCAGGCCTCAGCATTTGCACTGGAACTGGATCCAAAGCCTGGTAAGCTGAAGCGTCGCTTTGCTGATTTTCTCAATATGAAATCTGAGTTGTCAGATCATTTGTGTTTCTTTTATCCAGGTCTTACAATATTAATAAGCTGGTGGAGCAGGCAGTGGAGGATGTACTCAGAATAGGTTAGAAACTCACAAATACAGATCGTCACCTTGGAATCATGGGTTTATCTTTGTTCTCAATGATTTTGAGATATTGAGCTTCAAAGTTTTTGCATTCCATTCAGCAAACAATATGTGTTTAACAGTTCTCTTTAACATGTCAGAAACTCTAAATGTACTCTAAATATACATTATCAAAATTCTCTTCAATTTGCAAGTTGGAGTAAAACAAACAGGGTAAATGCAGATAAAACACTCTAATTCTGAAGTCATTTCCACTTGGAATTATAAGGTTTTATCTGGCAGATCATTAATTGAAGCATTACTTTTCAAGAAATTCAAGCAGTCTGCTATATAAATTGACGTTGTAACAATATGATGATGCTTGAGAAAGTAAATTTTAGTTTTCTATTACATTTATTTAATGTTTTAGGATGAATATTTTTTTTTTCTTGTTTGAATAAAGCAAGCAAGGCTGTGCTAAATATTTTGTCCAGTGCAGATGTTAATTTTATATAACTAACATGTTAATATTTATTTAATTAAATGCTTTATGGGAATTGTATTAATAAAATTATATGCCCCATGACCTAAATGAAGTGTTTGCCCTTCAAGGCTTAATATTAAATTTAAAGACTTTTAAAAGAAAACAGACAATGAGCAAATGAGCTGTTTAACAAACACAGAAACATGTTTCACTGACTGTATACAGTTGAAGTCTAAATTATTAGCCCCCCTGTTTATTTTTTCCCCAATTTCTGTTTAACGGAGAGACTATTTTTTTTCAACACATTTCTAAACATGATAGTTTTAATAACTCATCTCTTTCATTCAGTCATTCATTTATTCTTTTTTTTTTCGGCTTAGTCCCTTTATTAATCTGGGGTCGCCGCTGTGGAATTGACTGCCAACTTATCCAGCATTTGTTTTTCGCAGCGGATGCCCTTTCAGCCGCAACCCATTCACACACACTCATACACTATGGACAATTTTAGCTTTTAGCCCAATTCACCTGTACCGCATGTCTTTGGACTGTGGGTTAAACCGGAGCACCTGGAGGAAACTCACGCAAACTCCACACAGAGACGCCAACTAACCCAGCCGAGGCTTGAACCAGCGACCTTCTTGCTCTGAGGCGACAGCACTACCTACTGCGTCACTGTGTCACCTAACTCATCTCTAATAACTGATTTATTTTATCTTTGCCATGATGACAGTAAATAATATTTTACTAGATATTTTTCAAGACACATCTATACAGCTTAAAGTGACATTTAAAGGCTTAACTAGGTTAATTAGGTTAACTAGGCCGGTTAGGGTAATTAGTCAAGTTATTGTATAATGATGGTTTGTTCTGTAGATTATCGTAAAAAAATTAGCTTAAAGGAGCTAATAATTTTGACCTTAAATTGGCTTTTAAATATTAAAAACAGCAGTAAATAAAACTAACAAGGCTTTCTACAGATAAAAAAAAATATTATTAGACATGCTGTGAAAATTTCCTTACTGTTAAACATCATTGGGGAAATTCAAAGGAAGCCTAATAATTCAGCTGTATACACAACTGAACACAACTGTATACACAAATAAATATTTCAAATTTAATACATTACATTTTTAATAACTGTTTCTTTTACAACATTGTAAAATTTAACTTTTCATATCAATGCTTGTTAAAAAATGCTTGTTAATCATCACATTGACACACCTTTTCACTTTCAGGTTTCTTCTCAATTTTCAGAAAGAGCTTTATAGAGCCAAGCTAGAGTTGACTTTATAGATAAAACTTTTTCGTTTTATTTTATATAAAAAGTCTTAAAATGTAAACGACTTACTTAAAAAAAACACACCACATAATGTAAGTAAGTTGACATTAAATAAGAATGTGTGAATAACTCTATTTTGATAAAAATGTCAGAACCATATGATTCTAAGGTGACGAAATTGCAAATAAAACAAACTCTATGAAATGGCATGAAATCTGACAGCCCTGTATCTTTTTTTTTTTAATTTTTTAGCTAAAACAAAGACTGGTTTGGAGGTGCCTCTAAACCGGGAGTTCGTTGAGAGTGGTTAGTTCTCTATTACTATATATTATATTATACATACATACATAGAATTGTGGGTACATTTTAAGATTGTGCAGGTTTATAATTCACAGCAAGCTGATTCCATTTATATGTAAAAAAAAAAAAAAAAACTGTACAAAAGCACGCACATCTCTCTAAATTGTGTGCTCAGCCAAAACCGCAAAAAGTGCAAAAAAATGTCAATCGAAGGCGGCAACACCAAGGCTCCAAAAATACAAATTTATTAAATTAAAAAGGCTGACACAGAGCGTGTAACGTTTCGAGCCTCCCGGCTCTTCATCAGACAAAAATGTATATGTAAAATAGTGCAAAATGACTCAATGTGATACACTCTCAGAAAAAAATGGTACAATGTTGTACCAAATAAGATACAAACCCTTATTACTGGGGCAGTACCTTTTTATTGAACAGAATTGTACATTAAGACAAAGAAACACATTTGTACCATTGCAGTTTGTACCTTTTAGGACATGATTTGTACCATGGGACACCAAAATGTACCTTTGTTTTTTAAAACCTGCTGACACAATATTTTACAATCATCAAAGGTACAAATCTGATCCATGAAGGCACCACTACAGTGACAAGACACTTTGTACCCTAACAGTGTTGAATGTGTTTCTTCAAGAACTTTTTAAATGCATTTTGCTTTATCCAAAATGTGTCAATTTATTTTCAGTAAATATAAAGCTTCAAATACATTTTTAAATAATGTTTTTTTAAGTTTATTTTTGTGTAGATGCACTTTTTCCCTTTACAATCAAGAGTAACAAATACTTCAACATAAATCAAAAGATCTTTTTTGCTAAAAATTTCACAACACTTCACAGAAATGTTACAGAAACTCATTCTCCCATGTACAATATAAAACATCTTTTCTCCAATTTTCACACAACACCTTTGTAATCACTTAAAAGTTCTTAAAGTTTTCAAATATAAATAGAATGTAAAAGTATTGTAACGAGATATGACCAATGTTTAATTCATTTTGCAATAAAAAAATGTCTGCATGGATACTTTGCATATGCAGGACTTTTGCCAGCTCATGTGCATATTGAAAAGCAAACGCCAAAAGGTGCAGATATCAATGAAATTGTATTTATCAGAAAAAGCTCATCACATTTATTAAAACTGCCTTGAATGTTTAGTTTAGAATAAATGTGTTTCTTAAAACATTTGCTTTCAAATGATGCATGTTTTAATATGGAGATCATTCATAAAATCACTTTGCCTTTCCAGTCATATTTATTTTCATAGATATTGTAATAAAGGAGTTGTCAAACACTTTTGTATCTTATGAGAACAATTGTGTACCCTCATTTCAGTTGTACCATATAAGGTACAGAACAGTATCATAAGAGGTCTTTTCTGTACCATATAATGTACAACTTTTAGAAAGGTACAAAACTGTTCCTTAAGGAATATTATTTGTACCACCGTGTACCTTTTTTTCTGAGAGTGTAGAGAACAACTAACTGTTATTTAACTAATGTTAAACATTTAAAACCACTGACAGAGGGGATCGAAACATTTTCAACCATTTTGTTCTTTAGCTTAAGATGCTAACCTCAAACCAGATATGTTTTAATGTAAAATAATGCAAAATCATTTAATGTAAACATTTGATTCTATTAGTAATTGTTGTTTTAACTTAATGGAAAACTTTTTAAATCACTGACAAAGGTAATCGTAACAGAGGTGACATTTTCCACCATTTTGTGCTTTAGCTCAAGATGCTAACCTCTGTTTTTAATGTAAAATAATGCAAAATGATCGTCCAAGTGTACTTTTGATTCTGTTACTAACTGTTGTTTAACTTGATGTTAAACTTTTAAAACCTTTGACAGAGGTGATCGTAAGAGAAGTAATATTTTTTACTTTAGCTTTAGCAAGATGCTAACCTCAAGCCAGATATTATGTCCAAAATCAGTTTTTTATGTAATTTCATCATCTTGTTGCTTTAATAAGTTGAATGTGAGATTCACTGAAATGTCACAGTAACAGAGTTAACAGTAAAGTATTCTGCACAAATGAATAAAAGAAGAAGAATCTCCAATGCCTTCCTAAGTTTTTCGTCAGAGGAAGTGAAATCACTTTGAACAAGTTACATGCTTTTTCTGTCAGTGCTTTGAGGATTGTCATGTAGGGATGAATATTAAATGTTTTTATTACTGAAATTATGAATAATACAAAAATCAGATGTTTCCTGCAAGTGTTTATATAACTTAGAAATGTTAATGATCAAAAAAAGATTAAAATTAGACTTCAATATTTAATGATAATTGAAGCTGAAAATATGAATCAGGAGGCAGAGGCAGTCAAATAAAGGTATAGTTGTTCATATGTTCAAGACAAACAGTCTCTAAATACACATACAAGCATTATTTTTACAAATAAGTTGATATAATTACCTATTATTCAAAACTGTCTCATAAAATTGTAGTTTTTCGGAAAAAATAATAGGTTTATTTTGGAGACTCAAAATGTTCCCGCAATTCTAGAATCCCTCATATGCAGTTGCTACATTATTCATTATTTATTCTTTTTTTGTGTGTGTGTTTAGTAACAGACACGTACAATGAGTCTCTAATCTTCAGCCCAGAGGAAGACAAACTGTTCTTCAGTGTGAGAGAGCCCATAGTCAACAGAGTATTCTCCAACAGCCGACAAAGAGGCTTTGCCAAAAAGTAAGTTTTTTTTTTTTTTTAATTATTTGTAAAAAAAAAAAAATTGTTATTGTCTTTCCAGATCTGTTATAATATTACAAAATGTTCACATCTGGTGTAAACATGACATAAAAGAAGATCAAATTGATAACATTTCTGCTATTATTATACCAGAGTATCACTGTTACGCTGTTAAAGGGGCCCATTATGATTTTTTTTCTCATTATTTTTTAAGATCTAGGGTGTCGCCAGAATGTTGCTATGGCCCTGTTTACACTGTCAGGTCTTGATGACCAATTCTGATTTGTTGCTTATATCAGACTTGTTTTTTTGCCTGTCCGTTTACATGTTCTGTTAAATGTGACCTATATCCAATTAATGTGTTTACTTGCCATACAATTTACGACGTCGCGCATAAAGGTGGGTTCTAGCATCTGTGCCACACCAGCCACAATGGAAGAAATTGTCTTGCAAATTATACGGAGATCACCCAACTTTTAAAAAAAAAATTTGAGGCGGAGGAGGGCTGTCATCACAGCTTGCGCCTATGGTTTTTATATGGTGTCCTCCACCATTCAGAGGATTTTGTGGGTATGAGAGAGATCTCAGGTCTAGTGGGAGCAATTTTGTGGCGACTGACCTCTTTCCTCCTCTGTTGTTGTTGTTTACCGTGTCGGCATCTCCACACATGTTCATCCTTCTACGTCATTAAAAAGTGGAGAAGTGCCACATAGTCACAAGTTTAATGATGTACAAAATGGAAATCCGATATGCCTGTTAACATGATTGTCCCATATCTGATTTATTTCCACATGAAGGATGCCTGAAACCAATCTCTGAATATCCGAATGCTTGCGGTTTTTTTTTCGTGTTTACACAGTCATAGAACCGATCCGATCTGTTACATGAGCAAAAAATCGGAATTGGGTCGCATTTAACTGGCAGTGTAAACGGGGCCTAAGTTTCAGCTTAAAATACTCTACAGATAATTTGTTACACCAATTTTTATGTGATGCAAAACTTGCTTGTGTGTCATTTTAAGTGCAAATGAGCAATTATTTCCCACCCCCTTTACAGCTTGTGTCTTGGACTCAAGACAAATGATCTATTTGGTTTTGATCATCCTGTCTAGCATGCTTATGTAACAGTGCAGTTGATCGTTGTCACCAAAATGCATTTTAAAGCCTTAAGTTTAAACCGCTGATATACTCTTCACAAAGAAAAGATGGCTATAATAATATATACATCACAAAGATATTAAACTAAAGTTCCCTTTAGCATCTTATTGGTCATAACTGAAAATTTCCAGCATGTTTGAAAACATTTTCGGCATTTAAAGTTGTATTTTGTATTTCTAATTACAGTGAGCGGAATAATCATAACATTTTCAAAATTTGGGTTTGGGTCAAATTGTTGTTGATTTAGAGCCTCATTTAATAAATATGAATGTTAAACCTTATTTTGTTATGATATTTGTAAAGGCTTTTAAAATGCTAACATGAATGCTTGTTTTGGACAGAGTTTGCGTTCGCTCGAGATGCTGGGATGCCTGCATGGTAGTAGACGGTGGAACGTCCTTCGAGTTTAACGACGGTGCCATTGCTACAATCAGCTTAAACGAGGAGGACCTGCTGCGAACTGTCATTCTTGATTAAATCCTGTGATTCATCAAACTGTTGCTTGACAAGCTTGAATATATTTATTGAGGAACGAACTGTCATCAAAGCCAGACTTTGAGATGAACAGCGAGGTTTGAGTATGAAGTGTACATAAAATCACACTTCCATAGTCTATGATTACAGCTTTCAGGAATAAACACATCTTTCCTAGATACACCACCATTAGATTGTCACCATATCAGTGTTTGGTGCATTCAAACAGCCCAGAAATACCCAATTATTGAACTGTGGCTTTTGTTAATATTTTGAATTCAGTTTGAGATGATGGTTTATTATACTTTTGGGTCAATCATGCACAGAAGTATTGGTTAACGCTTTTTGATGGTCTGTTTGAATATTAGTAGACTGTCTGCTTAATATCTGTTGATTCTGCTCCATCAACAGACATTTAACTGACTATAAGAAACTTTGCAAGTACATGTCAACTTACACTAACCCTAACAGTCTACTGATAATCTGTTGAGAATTAGTTGCAATGACACTTAAATTCAACAAACATACCATCAAACTAAGGAGTGACTGAAGTGTTTTGTTGGTGTAGAAATGAATGTTACTGAAGTTGTTATTTAAAAACATTTTATTTCTGAGAATAGAGCTTGAATTGAGTCAAACTCTGCTCCATCAGGTCAAGGTATACTGCAAAAGAGGCTCAAAATATGGCACAATTTTGTAAAACATTGGTGCTTTTTAAAATTGTCTGCATTATGCAATCTACCACAACATTTATACATGTCGGAGAGTAACATCTGAAGTGTTAACAGACCACAATGCGATGAATTTAACACTGAACAAGATTTTCACATGACTTTAAATAAAAAGCAATACATTTATTTACAATTCAGACGATGTAAACAGCTCATAAAAATACAACTATGTTGTACAAAAATTCAAGTCTTCGATATTAAAACTGGTCAGAGAAATGGAAGAGATTCACAATATTTCCTCCTCTATGAAACAGCTGCTGTAATGCTTTCACAGAACTCAATTCAGGAACAGTATAAAAAGCATAAAACCTTTTTCTTAATACTAAACTAGTCCTTTGATAATCCTAGAGTAAAACTGGAAACATTCTGGATTTCAAAATGATTTGTACCAAACATTGCAAGATAAAACATCTAGCAATCTTGTTCTCTGTTCATACCTTATTTTATAAACAAGATCACCATTCAATTCAAGATTGTCAGGATCTCCAACACAATTGTCACGTTCACAATATAAAAGGACAGGAAATAACAGTGATGTTTGAGACGTTTCTTTAAAATCACAATTGTAATTGGGCGCAAGGAGAGAGATCTGGACTATTATTAAAAGACAACACAGTTTGGTTTCCCTTGTAATGATGTTGGATTAAAAGCATTAATGTTTGTAGACGAGTCTGCAGTGCATTCCCCACAGTGTGCGGTCTTTCCGTGAGGACGAGGTGGGACGTGCCACAGTGGAGAACGGCTGCGTGTTGATCTGGATGTGCGGCAGGCTTTTACAGAGAATGGGAAGGTAACTGTCCTGAATGAGGCCGAACACCTCCAGGGTCTGCAGATTCAGAAACTTTTCAAAGTCGCTGGATAAGGGAAAAACAAAAGATTATTTAGTGTTTGCTTTAAGAGAGAAATATATTGATATACACACACACGCGTGCCCGCAGTAGGGGTGTAAGTAGGATGAATATCATTAATGTCTGAAACAAAATGTCATTGTGTTTGTTCATGAAGTGAACTTTCGCTTTCAGATTTGAAAACCTGCTGTCTGAGAGTGAAATTGTTTTTATTAAAAAATTTAATAAATACTAAGGAATCACCTTTAAAAATTATCACAATTAAGTGCTTAGCAAGGGGCATTACTGCTAATAATAAAAAACAAAAACTGCTGAATATATGTACAGTAGGAAATTAACAAAATATATTCAAGCAACCTGTTCTCTACTTAATATCCTAATGATTTTTGGCATAATAGGAAAATTTGCCCAGTCCATTTTGGGCTATCGTCAAAAATATAGCCATGCAACATAAAACCTTTGGATTTGTGCTCCAGGGTCACATATGGTGAATTAGATTGGCTGTTTCAGACTGTTGCCTTGAGACTGATAATGAGAACACACAATGACTCGTCCTGTGCAAGACACTGGTCAGTCAAGTTATCTACTAACAGTCATTGGTGTAGTGCATGTAGCATTGATGGTGAACATGCTACAGCAGCAAAGCTTCTTGATTATTACACCAGAACGAGAAAATAATTCCAAGCCATACTGACTTAGAAAACAAGCTTTAAACAGGGCAATTATTGAAACTATTTTTATAGCTTGTGGTCTAATACAATTTAATGATCTATGCTTTGCTAAGCTAAGCTAAAAATGCCTCTGCCAGACCCAGTGATCTGCTGAACGAATGAGAGTTGCAAAATGAGCCTATATCTGCAAAAAAAGGGTGGAGTGTTCCTTTAACTGGCTCAAAATCTTAATGCATAGCTGGTTAGGCCTATTATGATAAGGAATTGTTGTTGTGCAATATATTGTCACAGAAATTGTTGCAATAAGCAATATTATTGTCATTTTAAGACTATTTTATGCCACTGATTTTATAATGACTATTTAAACAGCACAATAATGCAAATGGAACAAACACTTTAAATTATGGAATCTAAATAATCTTAAATTATGGAATCTAAATAATCTTAAGAATGAGAAGAATTTTCATGTTAAAAAGATAAATGTCCTTAAGTGTCCTATTAGGTAAATGTCTAATTGTAAACTTTGACACCAGTGAGATAGGATGTAAATGTCATTGTAAAAAGGCTTTAATGTTATTTGTGGATTTGTTAATAAACAGCAAGGGCAAAAATCGAGGTCATCCCCAAGTAATGCCGCAGTCACACTAGAGTTTAAGCGTGCAAAATTCTGTCATAAGGTGCTGCAAAAAGGGAGCAATTCCTCCCTCTTTTAAATTTCTGTTCAGAGAGGTCATGTTTTGATCTTCGTTTGGTCCCACACAATCAAGTGATGCGATTTCGCAGGTCAGAGTTCACAAAGCTTGAACTTTGCAACGCAGAGAACTGCGAAACTTGATGCACAAACTTGGATTTCCGGTCTGACGCATTCGCGTGCTTATGAATGGAAGTCTATGGGGAGAAAAGTCCAGTGTGACCGCAGCTTTATGCATGACATATTGATTATTGTGACAAGCCTATAGCTGTTTAGATGATTGATACATTTAGATGGAAAACAAAAAGTAGCAAGATTCCAATAACAGCATTGCATATTGGCCAAGGTAAATTAACAATAAACAGCATAACAATTCAATCCATGAAGTAGCTTCTAAAAAGTGGTTTAGTGAACCATATGTGGCTCTGTTAATAAATTTAATTAGACATATTACAGGGAATGCTTTAACTAAATAAGGAGCTCTATGCACTTGAGCATTAAAAGGCAACAATTAACAAATATAACCCAAACCACCTTATTCAAATTAGATTTTCTTGCTATATTAAATCAACAAAATTGTGGAAAAAAATGCATATTTTAGACTCAATTTAAATATAAAAAAGGTTTCAAATTTAGTCTTTTAAAACTGTTCAACCAATATTGATCACCTAAAATGAGAATATATAAAACTAGGAGTTTCAAGTCGAGCTTTGGCCATGCAGCAGTAAAAGCAATAGTTCACCCAAAAATGAAAAATCCTCATTTACTCAACTTCAAGAGTTTCTAAAGTTCTATACATTTCTGTCTTCAGTTGAACACAAAACAAGATATCCTGAAGACTGCTGGAAAAAAAGCAGCCATTGAAATCCATAGTAGGAAAGACTATGGAGGTCAATGATTTTTTTTCTTCAGTATCTCTTCCCTTGTGTTTAACAGAAAAAAGAATCACAAACAAGTTTGAGGATGAGAAAATGAAAGAAATTTCATTTTAGTATGTACTATATCTTTAAAACAACTCTGTATTTGTTGAGAATTGAAAAACCAGTGCTGAACATTTCAATGTCTAGCACTACGCCCTTATTTACAGACATATGACAATATTTGTATTTGTGAACTGAACATTTCTTACATGAGAGAAGCTGGGTGGATCTGATAACAACGGCTCAGTCCCAGATGTCTGAGTGAGGAAAGCTGCTGCAGGACAGGAAAACTGTCCGTCGTCACAAGCACACTGTCACTGTAACGAGAGAAAGCATCACTCCGGTAAACAACTGCAGTTTACAATCAGGTTTCTGGTCAGACTTCCAAATCATCAACTCACCTTAAATCTAGGTCTGTGATGTTTGGACATCTTTTTACTATAGCTTTGACATCTGGAACACAAAAAAAAAAAAAAAACATTAAAAAAAGCAAAAAAGTTATTTTATGCTTGAACAAAAAAATAATAAATTGCATCAAGCTGAAGCTCCACGCTTTCCTCACCTTCCATTGTGAGGTTTTGTCTATAACCACTGATGTTCAGCTGAGAGACGCTTGAGGGAATGTTGCTGGCAATGGCTTGAATATGAAGATTGCTGAAGTCACACCACGACACGTTCATTTCTTCAATTCTGGGATGAAAAACAGGAGGTTGTGCACTTGTATGCATGATGCAGATATAATGTCAATAAAATTGTCTATATTAAGAAGCTTATTATACATATTAAGAACATTCGGCTTTATTGCTACTCAAGTACCCAGATCATTTTAATCTGTCTATATTAATCTTATATTTGAAAACTAAAACATTAGATGCAAGTGCTTTTATTCCTAATACCATATGTGCAAAGGTTAGCCCCTTTCACACATACAGACCTTTTCGGAAAATTACCGGCAATTTTCCGGAAAGGTTGTATGTGTGAACAGGCCCTTTTTAAAAATACCGGTAAATTCGTTGTGGCTATTTTCCAGAAAGAGAAGTTGTAAGATTACCGGTAATTTGCCGGAATGCTGCGCTGTGTGAATGCAGAAGGAAGATTGCCGGAAAGAGCGCGTCCACGTCTAGAACGTGCTGACGTGAGACACCTGCTTTAGCCAATAAGAACAGTCAGACGCATTCACGTGCGCGCGGTTCATTAGAATAAAAGCCTTTGAATATTTTTCCAGACACCTTTAGCTGCTAGATGTTGGTCAGATAACGTTTCTATGTTCCTTCTTAATGCTAACTGTGTAAATAATTATCGATAAAATGTTTATGATAACCCATTGTT